GTGGATTAACCAGCAGATTTGCCCCCGTGTGATAACGTCCATAGAATCCCTGAACCAAAAAATGTAACTTTTTCCACTTTCAAATTGTGCCTGATGCAAAAATGGCCCTTCGTTCCCGACCCGAGGAGAAGTCGGGAAATCTTCATCCCTTTTGAGCAGGGGTAGGCAACCTAAGGCCCGGGGGCCGCATGCGGCCCCCTGAGGCCTTTGGACCGGCCCCAGGCCGGTTTTGCCGCCGCCACCACCGCCCACCCTGATAATATTGATTATTGTTGTTATTACTTGTTCTTGGGATTTTCTTGGCAAAATCTCCACAGGGGTTTTGCCATGGCTTTTCTGGGGCTGAGAGAGTGTGCATGCATATTTTTTTTATTTTTTTAAAAAAATTATTGTTATTTATTTATTTATTTTGGTGCACTGGCCCCCCAATTGTCTGAGGAACAGCAACCCGGCCCCCGGCTCAAAAAGGTTGCCTAACCCTGCTTTTGAGTTTCCATGGGCAGCGAAGGCTAGTGTTTTTCACATGGCCTTCATACAGGGTGACCAGATGTCATGACTGCAAAGGAGGACAAGGCACCACGAAATGTAGGACACCCCAGGAAAAATGTAGGATGCAACCCATGAAACCCGTTCAGATAAATGTAAATTTGTGCTTCTTAGTCATGCCCAAACGGGAGGACATTTTGAAATTCTTCCTGGACAGAAGGCTGAAATGTAGGACATGTCCTGGAAAAAGAGGATGTCTGGTCACTCTGCCTTCATACCCTCTAACTGTACTCGTTTGGCAGGAACAGTCCTCATCACCCTTTCCCAGGTGCTTGTAAAATGTCCCACTTTGTGTCTCCTCCTCTTGCTTTCCCCATAGTCTTCAGTTTTCCGTCAGTTGCTGCAAACTGGGGCTGCATCTACACTGCAGAATTAATGCACTTTGACACTGCTATAACTTCCATGACTCAGTGCTATGGCATTCTGTGATTTTCAGTTGTGAGATATTTAATTTTCTCTGTCAGAGAGCACGGGTGCCAAACTACAAATCCCAGGATTCCATAGGATGGAGCCATAACAGTTAAAGAGGTGTCTGCTGCACACTCTCCTAGCTTGTGTGTTTAATAATAATAATAATAATAATAATAAATAATTGCCATCTTGACCACACTCTGATCTGATGTTGCCATTGGATACATGTGTCCTGGTTTTCATCTGCGAAACATTGGGAAGGATATGGGCCTTTGATTCTTAAACCCAAGAGTGGCTGTTTTTCTTTTGGTTTTTAAGAAGCAATTGAAGTTTGTTTTTAAATGTTTTTACTTGTATGCTTAACATTTTTACATATTTTTAGCTGTTGTGTATCACCTTGGGGACCCTGCTAGGCTGAGTGGCAAGGAAGGAAGGAAGGAAGGAAGGAAGGAAGGAAGGAAGGAAGGAAGGGAGGGAGGGAGGGAGGAATTGTAACGTGAAAGTAAAATTTTGGAGCCACGATGGCTACACAAGAATAGCAAAAAATCCTCTATTCCCTTAAAACAGGAGGGTTTGTTGTTATTGTTGTTATTGTGTGCCTTCAAGTCATTTTTGACTTATGGTGAAGCTAAGGTGACCCTATCATGGGGCTATTTTGGCAAGATTTGTTCAGAAAGGGTTTGCCTTCCCCTTAGGCTGAGAGTGTGTGACTTGCCCAAGGTCACCCAGTGGGTTTCTATGGCTGAGCAGGGATTTGGACCCTGGTCTCCCAAGGTCCTAGTCCAATGCTCAAACCACTACACCACACAGACTCTTGTAGGGGGCTGTATTATGACTCCCAAATAATAATAAGTAATAACTTATCAATATTAGTAATATTAATAATAATATGTTATTAAGAATAATCAGTAATATTTTGCTCCCAAATTACCTTTAGGGCTCATGGGGGCATTTTCACCACTTTTATGTGTCCCACCCCTGAGACATTTTAGGACCTTTTTGTTATTGTGCACCTTCAAGTCATTTCCAGCTGTGGCAACCCTGTTCAGAAGAGATTTGCCATTTCCTTCCCCTGAGGCTGAGAGTGTGTGACTTGCCCAAGGTCACCCAGTGAGTTTCTATGGTGAGTAGGGATTCGAAGCCTTTTCTTTCTTTTTTTAACAAAGGAAATGGCAGAAAACAAATTCCCAGTTACTTTTGGTGGTTAAATAACATTAAAATGCTCCAATCTGTCTCTTTTGTTTTTGCTGCAACAGCAAGCAATCATGACTCCCTTTCTGGCCATTATGAACGTATCACAAGAAGGAGCGCATCTTCCAGGAAACGGGTCAAGCGAAGTCACAACCTGCTCTTTGCTTTTTCTTTCCTCATCATTATTTTTTTTTAAAAAAAAAAATCTTTTCCCTTCCTCTCTAAATTCCACATGGCATGGGAAATTTCTCTCAATATATGTACACATTGTGAAGAGAGGTCACTTGATAGGATTGCTGGCCAACTGTGTTGGGGACAGGAGGGGAGCCCAGCTGGATTTTGTTGTTGCTTCTGGGCCAGTTGCCATAAGAGCAAAGGTCATGCTCGCTTTTAAAATCTGCTATTTTAATTAGAAAATCACTTCTATTTTACAGCCAATAACAAGCAACATGAACCACATAATTACACAATAAATATGTCTTTTAATGTCAGGAGTGATCATTCCATCCTCAATCTAGGACTGCATAAATAGTAAAAGGAAAATTCACAACAGCTCTGGGAATTGTGTACCTTTCCAGATGTTCCTGGGCTGCAACTCCCAGTAATCCTCACCAGTCTAGCTCCTGGTTGCAAATGCTGGGGACTGCAGCTCAAAATCATACCAAGGGCCACATGATTATCACCCTTGTTTTCCAAAATGTTGTACAGCTTTTGATAAAATGTCTAGTTCTGGAGTCTGTGTTAACACATGGTATGAATGCTGCCACATTCCTTGCAAAGAAATCTTACTAGCTATTCTTCCCTGATGGCCAGTGATGACTGGGGAAGATAGGAGCTGCAGACCAACCTACCCAGTTAGGGCTCCAGATAGGAGAAGTTGTGTTGAATGGTCCCATTGTGAAATAGAAGTGGGCCAAGATCCTACACTGATGACTTATTTACAAATGCAGCTAAGTATCATCTCTTGGTCCATCTGTCAAACTTATCTGAACAGCCAGCAGCCACTCTGAGTGATGGAGGTCAGGTTTGATGGTGATCAAGGCACAGCAAGATGACATTTCCAGCCTCCTCCTGCCAGCAAGTGAGATTATGATGAGGAATTGTGACAAGTCCTGCTTCTAATTGTCACAGCCTCGCTCACTGGTGGAAAGGGGCTGGAAACAGCATCCTGCTGCACCCAGATCCCCAGCAGAACAGACCTCTATCATTTAGAGTGGTTCCCTGGAATTTAAAGCTGGGATTCAAGAAACATTTATTATTGTGGCAACTCTCGCTGGTGGAAGGGGGCTGGAAACAGCATTCTGCTGCACTCAGATCCCCAGCAGAACAGACCTCTATCATTCAGAGTGGTTCCCTAGAGTTTAAAGCTGGGATTCAAGAAACATTTATTATTGTGGCAATAGTGCCACAGTTGTGAATTAGTTGGCGCACCATATCCATGGATTCTGCATCCGCAGAATCAACTATCCATGGCTTAGAAATATTTAAAAAATAATAATTCCAAAAAAGCAAACCTTCATTTTGCCATTTTATGTAAGGGACACCATTTTACTATGCCATAATATATCAGGAACCTGAGCACCCATGGATTTTGGTATCCCAAGGGGGCCCTGGAATCAAACTCCAGCAGAAACCAAGAATCCACTGTACATAAAACAAATGAATACGAGCAATAACAGATCCATGACTTTAGGTTACAAATTTGTAATTGCAATACAGGGTGATGGCCATGATTTGTTTTGTATAGTTCCACTATGAGCTGCTTAAAACAGCCCAAGCCTTACTTTTAGCCTCGGTCAAGACTGACCGTCAAGCTCAGTTCCCCTCCGATCCTGTCGGTACCATCCTGAAGTTATGATTTTTTCTTTAAATTATCACTACAGCACTGGATTGGAGTGTTTTGGAGCTTCATGACAGTCATAGCCCCTCACACTCTCTTCCATATTCCTCCTTAAGCCTGCCTTCTTGCCCTATGCCAGCACACCTTTCTTTTAATTGTTTAAAAATTTGTAACACAGTTCTGGAGTTATGCCACAACTTGGTAAAAAAAAAAAAAGAATAAAGGGGAGGGGGGAAGAAAGTGAAAAAATAGTTTTTTGTGGGTTTTTCAGGCTGTGCCATGTTCTAGAAGAGTTTCTTTCTGACGTTTCGCCAGCATTTGTGGCTAGCATCTTCAAGAACTGAGGATACCAGCCACAGATGCTGGCGAAACGTCAGAAAGAAACTCTTCTAGAACATGGCCACACAGCCTGAAAAATCCACAAAAAACTATGGATGCTGGCCATGAAAGCCTACGTTCACAAAGTGAAAAAAAAGTTTTAAAAAATAGAAAATAGGCCTCTTAGGAATAGTGAAGAAGAGGGGGAGAGGGAGGAAGGAGGAGACTGATACCACATGGCTGCTTATTATTGGGACTGCCACAGAGTGGAGTAATGGGGTGGCAGCACAATTGGCCACTTATTGATGAGTTTTCCTATCAATGAAAAAAATGCCTTCTAACAAAACTTTGGAGGAACAGCTGCAATGAGTTGAGGTGACATCATGTGATAGGTACTACCACAGGCACTATTCTTTTGCCACAACGGCAGTTTAAAATACGCACATCATCATCATCATATTAGTATTTTATTTTAGTATTTTAGCATTTACAGTGTTGTGTCTTATCATCCATTTTGGATTGTAGTCAGCAAAGTCTCCACTCCCTCTTCATCTGAAGGGACGCTGTCCTTTCCCCAACTGCCCTTCCAAACTTTGGGGTTGTCAGGTTTGTTCTTTGAGTTTTTGTTTAAATTGGTAGTGGGCTTGATGCCTATCAGAAAGCACTGCTGCTGGGGTGGGGAGTTGTTTTGCTCCCCTCTGATTCTTTGCAACCTTATTGTTGTATTCTGGGTTGTCCGAAGCAGGAATCTGAAGCTTAGTGAGCTCTTCCGAGTCCTCCTTGCCTGGAGGGCTTCTCGGTTGAGCTGGGAACTCCCAAACAAACCTAACATCCCTGCAGTCCAAGACACAACTTGACGCTCCGCCATTACCAACTGGAAGTCATTTGTTCTGGATTGGGTATGTCTTTGGTAGACAATGACAATGTTGCTTGAAAAGCATTATTTGAAATTTTAGAAAGAATATAAATGGGTTCAAATTATACAAATTGGATAAAGAAAATCTATAATAAACAGAGAGCACGACTTATTATAAATGGGGGGAAATCAAATAGTTTGGAAAGACAATAAGGAACAAGACAGGGATGCTCATTTCCACCACTTCTATTCTTATTAATTATGGAAATATTGATTAAAAATATTAAGAGTGATGAATGTTTATGAGGGAAAAAAAGTATAGCATTAGTATATTATTTTAGTATTTTAGCCTTTTATAGTGTTGTGTTTAATCATCAGTTTTTGATTGTATATGTCTGATGTTCCACCTCAGGTGGAAAAGGCATTATAAATAAATATTATTATGTGATAAAGTCCTATTTCTCACCAATGAGCCTCAAAAATCTCCAACGTATTTCGCATTCACTGGTGGCAGGCAAATCTGGTTAGGTCTCTCCCTCAAGCCATTTCCAGTCAACAGAGATGTCAGACAGACCTCCTCCTTTACAGTTCAGTTTGACCTTTCTTTCTAGCTGACCTTGATTTCTCATTAATCAGAGTTCATTGTCAGAGGTCAAGCTACTAAACAGGACAGCATCTGGCTCCTAACAGCTGGGCTTTGGATACAACCTGCCTTCCATCATCATCACGATCCCATTATTCTCCCAAGAACATAAAAATAACGGGTCATTCTCATCTCTAAGGAATCATCCACCTGACTTCATTCCTCCTCTGGGATGGGAACATGACATACTGAGCAATCTTAACTATCATTGTTCTTCGATTGGAGACAGTTTTTCTGCAAACTGAAAACGGTTTTGGAGAGCATTTCCACCAATGTGTCTGTATTCGTTCTGTTGTCTCATTTGCCTCTGGCTGAATAGGCTTTACAGGCTTTTGAAGCAATATGAAAACTTACTAATCCTGTTTTACCAGAGCTGAAAAAGGCAAAAAATGTAGACAGTATGGGATTGTTCTTTCAATTCCCTGGAAAAAAGCAAGAAAAATTGTCCATTTCCATCCTTACAGGGAGAGCCTTCCATCCTTACAGGGAGAGTCAACATAGTGTCGTAGTTTGACAGCTGTACTATGGTTGCACCCACATTGCAGAAATAATCCAGTGTAACACCACTTTAACAGTCATGGCTGAATGCTATGGAATCTGGGAATTGTAGTTTGTTGTGGCACCAGAACTCAAATATCTCACAAAACTACAATTTCCAGAATTCAATAGCATTCCATTTGCCAAGGGGGGAAGGGGAAAGTGTGATATAAATGAATTAATTAATGAAATAAATATTTTTTAAAGATTTAAGCAAGTTTGGCAATTGACAGTCTGCTGTACAAAGGACTTTTAAAAAATAGAACTATACTTTTAAAAAAAAGCTGATGTGTTTTTAAATTGCTTTTTAATTTCACCATGTATTAATACTGCAGTTTGTGGTTGCATCCACACGGCAGAAATAGTCCAGGTTGACACCACTTTAACTGCCATGGTTCAAAGCTATGGAATTCTGAGAAGTGGAGTT